TCTCTCTCTCTCTCTCTCTCTCTCTCTCGCTCTCTCTTCTCTCTCTCTCTCTCTCTCTCTCTCTCTCTCTCTCTCTGCCTCTCTTCTCCTTACTCGCGCTTTTCTCTATTCTCTCTTTATCTCTCTAGGTGAAACCTTGGTAGCTATTTTCTACCTCCATCTCTCTAGGTGAAACATTGGAAGCTATTTAAAGCCGACTCTCACTGACTCAGCGATCCCATCATGCCATTGACAGTGACGACATTTCAGATATTCTTTAAAATCTCTCCCACGTGTAGGCCTACGGATTGCCCGAAGTTAACAGAAACGGTAGTATAGTTGACCGCTCGCCACCCTAACCTACAGCCATATCCATAACAGTGAGCGTAGCGCCACCTGTCCACCGCCACCCTAATTTACAGCCATTTTCATGACGGTGACCGTAGCGCCACCTGTCCACCGCCACGCTAACCTACAGCCATATTCATGACGGTGACCGTAGCGCCACCTGTCCGCCGCCACGCTAACCTACAGTCATATTCATGACGGTGACCGTAACGCCACCTGTCCGCCGCCACGCTAACCAGCTATCTCGTGACAAGGACCACGTCGGTAAGCGACCGCCTACACGTTCCATGATCCAATACTTTTGGGGCCCCGCAGCGTTAATGAAGCCGCTTTACTGTCTGTGTTCGCAATCACGACTCCGGCCCCGGCCCCCATTGACGCACATTTACGTTGCTAAGCCTCTCCATCGAACAGAATAATGACCCGGAAAAGTCAGAAGTAACGCGGCGGGAGGCGCGGGAGAGACGGCGGCGGTCGGCAGCTGTCGACGGCGCGGGGAGAAATCAAAGCACGATTAATTTCATTTTCGAAACCAGTCGGGCGCGGGGCCCGACGCTGCATTCGCTGCTGAAAAATCGCCGCAATTTCAGTGATCCAACCTCTACCCGCTCCGGTCGCCCGCGCACGTTAGCGCATGCGCACTCCGGCGCGGCGTAGCCCCCTGGCGACTGAAGTGCGCGCGTCAGGCGTATCTAACGGCGAGCGATATGTCTCTCTCTCTCCTCGGCGAACTCCGTAAAACGCCTATTCAGTTTACGTGTGCCTCTTTCAATCTTCTCGGATAGGCTCTCTAGTTAAGCCTCTTAGCGACGGCTTTATTAGTCCACCACGTATGCGACGTTGTTCAAAAACACGGGCGGGCGGCCGGGCGCCGTGTCCTTATGCACAACATGAAAGCAGACGCTCATTTTTAATCAAATATTAATTTGACGGAAATCCAAACATAAGTCTCGGCTCAATCTTACAATGTAATCAGGCATGACTATTTAACCCGAAAAAGACAGATGCAGAGAGAGAGAGAGGGAGAGAGAGAGAGAGAGAGAGAGAGAGAAGAAGAAGAGAGAGAGAGAGAGAGAGAGAGAGAGCGCGGCGGACGGGAGGACGGCCCGCGTCCGTCGTCCGTACGTACTACTACGTCGCGGTACTCCTTACTACTACTAGTACTACGTTACGTTATTTACGTTA